TCCTTTTTCTCATGTCTCCTCTTCCTCATGTCTCCTCTTCCTCAGGTCTCCTCCTCTTCCTCATGTCTCCTCTTCCTCATGTCGTCTCCTCTTCCTCATGTCTCCTCTTCCTCATGTCTCCTCCTCATGTCTGCAGGTCAGTATCTACCTGCCTCCTCTGAAGACCATGAAGAACGTGGTGGACAGGATGAAGAACCTGTCTAACTTCCTGGTAGGACCAGCTCAGGTCTGCAGGACCTCAGTCAGACTCTGGGGGTCTCTGTGGGACCACTAAAGGCAGTCTGTGTGTCTGTCAGGTGATGGAGGCCAACATGAACGGAGACATGAACCTGAAGATCCAGACAGATCTGGTTTCTGTCACCACCCACTTCAGAGACCTGGGAAACCCTCCGTGGGGTAGGACCACCTGAGACCCTCCTGAGGCCTCTTCTTACCTGAGCTCAGGTGTCTCAGGTGTCCTCTCTGTCTCTGCAGGTGGGGACGCCTCTCAGGACGGGGCTGCGTCTCAGAGCAGGGACCCAGAGGACATGGCGGAGGTCCGGGTGGACATCAGGAAGCTGCAGCAGTTCCTGGTGGGACAGCAGGTCAACCCCAGCAGGGCCATGTGCAGTAAGTCCCCCACAGGTGGTCCGAGGTGGTCCTGCTCACCTGGAGAACACCTGAACAACCTGGTGCATTCTGGGAAATGTAGTTTAGATCTCAGCTCCGAACCAGTTCAAAACTGTTTCAGGTTAAAAGTTAATCTGTCACTTTTATCTACAGTAAATCTGAATTATTACAAATATTTAATATTTATTAAACTAAAAAATCATTTAGTTTGTCTGCTGATCCAGAAAAATGTCTTCAGATGTTTTCATCTGTTTCACATCCTGGTAGAAAAATAATAACTTGTCTTTATTTAGTTCCTAAACTTTAAGTCAAAGCTGCGTTCACTGACCCTCAGGAAAGTAGAGTTTTTATTTCAGATTAACTCCAGAAAACATGAAGTAATTTACTCAATGTTTTAAAAACATTCAGTTAACAATAAAACAACAGT